CAGAACACTGCATATTACGTCTCCCAGATACATATCATACGAAATAAAATTACTAAAAATCCAAATTTGGTACTACCGCTTTCAATATGGTATCCCTCGACTCGAAATGACTTACTTAATACCACTAAAGTGTTTAAAGTCCACTGGTAAGCGAATTGTACTCGTAGTGGTGGCTAAACGTGATATTTTACCTTAGTAATCCTGCACCAAGTATTATTTTCTGGACAACTCGACTCCACCACCCCATTATGCAAATTGTAAGTATCCAAAATGCATTCCCCACAAAGCAGACATCCTAACGATGACAGTGATATTATTGGCTAAGTGGTAGTGCAATATTTTGATTTTTTATGMATTTTTAACCGAACGGGTCTACTGCAATAGTGCATATTGTGTCCGCCCTGCACTTACAATATGAAATAAAATTACTAAAAAAACAAATTTAGTACTAGCGCTTTCAAAATGGTATCCYTCGACTCCAATTGACTCACTCTATACCTTACTCTATAATATTTTACACATGTAATCCTGCACAGGTTAATTATGATATCTGAAAATAAAATTTATAAAATACAATAAATATTAAGTGTTTTTTAGGTATCTTGTTATTATCGGGTTATAATGAATTATCCCGAAGACGTATGTACTGGGAAAAATCACCAGATACCCATAACGACTTGGTGTCAGGTGCTATGCGACGAAATCGTTTTGAGCAAATTTTTTCATATATTCATTTCTGTGATAATAGCAATCTTGACGAGCATGACAAATTTTCCAAAATAAGACCACTACTTTCCATGCTAAATTCAAGATTTTTGATACACACACCACATCAACAATTTCATAGTATAGATGAATCAATGGTTCCATACTTCGGCAGACATGGCTGAAAACTGTTTATAAGGGGCAAGCCTATTCGATTTGGTTTCAAAATTTGGGTTGGGACACTGAGATTAGGCTATGTAGTCTGGATATCTCCATATCAAGGAAAAAGCGGTGATCTTCAAAATACTTATAGTATACTTCAAGCCTCAAGGTGTAACAAATGTGATKTTGGAGTGCATTTGAAGTGCAACATACAGTATCACACATTAAAATAATTAATATTATGTTTAAATTATGTTGATAAATTATAATTATATGAGTATATAATTTTGTTTTGTATTTGTATATTACACCTTATTTTCCCACTGTCCTACATTTAGGACACCTATTATCAAGCAAACTATGGGTAAAAAAAATTTTTTTTAATTTTTTTTGGTTTCCCAAGAACAACAATAGTAGAAATAAGTTAGAAAAAAGTTAATTTAAAAAAAAATTTAACCTTGGGCATGAATGGGTTAATGCAATGTCATGAAAATGAAGATACCATTGTACAAACATTGAAACAAACATTAGCTTCAGAAATTAAACGCCGCTTTTCGCTTGAATGGGATTCAACTGAATCTGTATTATTAGAACAAATTGCTTCATTCTTGGATCCTAGATTTAAAGACTTAGACCACGAAGTATTATCTAATCATGAGGCAATCCGCTCTAAAATAAAACAAATAATCAACCAAAATAATTATCTCGAGCCCAATGAAATAACTACAGCTTCTCAAGAACAACAAAATAAACATAGAAGTGATCTTGAATATATATTTGGAATCAACAATGAAAAATGATCTAACAAAAGAATTTCAAAACTATTTAGCAAAACCGCAGTTGAGATTTACATAAGATCCCTTAGAGTGGTAGAAAACATGATATTCAAAATATCCGACAATAGGTAAACTTGCTAAAAAGTATATGGCAATTACTGCAACATCAGTGAGTGCTGAACGTTGTTTTTCAACTGCTGGTAATATAGTCACCCGAAAAAGAGCTTCCTTATCACCAGAAAATGTAAATTTACTTGTATTTTTGCATCAGAATAAACAGCTGATGATTTAAAATTAAAACTATCTATTAAAGTGTGATATATTAAAATTATTTATTTATTATTATTTAATATTAACTGGATTATAATTAAATATTTTTTTACGTGGAGCTTCTTGAATGAATCACAGTGGTRCAATCTATGTAGACCGGAACAATGGACACACTTCTCGCGACTATCATGTTCAATCACTAAAGCCATCTTCTTGACGTTGCTGCTTGAACCGTGCTTTTTTAAACTTGACCCACTATTTAATTCGGTCTCTTTTGGCTGCGCATTCCAAGCGCCTGACCCCTCAAAGGCTATACACCGATTCGCTAGAAACCTTTCAATAGATAGATATTTCGGCAATTGGGTGTCACTTTGATGAAGTTGCCATTCATGAAGCGTACATTTATCCAAATGACGTAACACAATCGTAACGAGCCAAGCATCCCAATGCTCCACCGGTTGCCCTAACGCCTTTAAAGCAGCTACATGAGCCCCAATGTGCGAATGCAATCTTTGAAGTGACCCCGTCGTAGCTATTTCCACGCGAGGACTGTCGAGCAGCGCTCTGATATGCGTTTGAATCACCAGGCTTCTATTGTCATAGCGTTGTTTAAGCCGTTGCAGCACTACTTCGTAATTACAATCGGTCATAGGAATCGAACTCACAATGTCCAACGCTGGACCACGTAGACAGGATCGCAAATAGTACAATTTGTGAGCCAACGATATCGAATCATCCTTATGTACTAGCGCTTGAAACACGTCATAAAACGCTTCCCAGTCCTCGATATTACCCTTAAACTCAGGGAGTGGCATGGGAGGCAGCCTAGACCCGTGCCCACTGCCAGAGAACCCGAACGACTGATTATGGCCTACGGTACTTGCCTGTTTTTGTAAGTTAATTATTTCCTRCATTTGAGCTCTGGCGTCAAAATAATCTCTTTCAAACGCTTCACGTTCTTGATCCTCTTTTTCTAGCTCCTCAGCAATCATCTCAATCTCGCATTGTACCGCATCGAACTTTTTACTAATTTGAGGTAATTCCTCTTGCCGGAATTCAAGCAATGCTATAGATTGCACCGCTGTATCAAACTCATTAGTGAAGTTGCGTAATCGAGTTAATGAGGCCTTAATAACACCACGCTTCCTTCTCAGTACTGTCAACTGTTTTAGATTATCTTCATCCAACGCCATGATTACTATGTTTATTAAATACCCTACGTTACTATTTAAGTAAGATATTAATTACGAAAATAATAATAAAGTAAATAGGAATAATATAGTCAAGATGATTTAAACCTTCGAAAGTAAAGTATAACTGGCAATTGAACAATTAATCGCTATGCAATTACGCAAAGTACTAATACAAACATATATATAATAATCCAGTAATATGTAGAATAATGAAACTAATTGGTCTCGAATTAATTCGATAACTTATATAATTCACCATCAAACAACATATAACAAAAAATAAATATAGTATCACGTAGAGGTCACCAAAATGTACGGGCCGGGAGCGTAAGATAATAATACGCGCGCCCGGTTACCCAACTACTTCGTAGCGCACGCACACACCGACCGACCTGTGTAAATGTGTATACGTGTATATAGCGACTCAAGGGAAGT